AGCACCCCCCCCCTTACCCATCTTGCTCAATATTTTTAACCTCAATTTTAGTAATAGTCATAGCCACTATCTGATTTTATTTGTGTCTAGTTAACTTTCATAACAAATTTTAACAATAACATTGTGTAAATGTAATGATAAAAACAATCGAAAGTGTAAAATGTAAGTAAATAGCTCATTTTTCCACAAATGGCGAGTTCAGAAATTCAGCGAGGTTTTCAATTACTGGCATGATGCAGTTCGACTCGCTTTCAACGTCGCTACAAATTTCCATTGCATGAGAAGCGCTGCCATTGTCTTCTTCCTCCATAACATCTTCTTCCTCCATAACATCTTCTTCCTCCATAACATCTTCTTCCACGTCGTCCTGGCCAAGTGTATCGCTATCTTTAGCCTGTCAGGCTGCACTTTCCTTCACCGAGTGGCTCTTTTTATGGCGGTTTTTCGCAGCTTCGCTGGGCCAATAGCTACCACATTTTTCGCAAACGCACTTCTTAAGTTTTTCCTGCATTGAAGGGCAGTAGAGATCGAGTGGACATTGTTTAAACTCTTTCGCTTTGGCGGGTAGATTCTTAATGATTAATCGTTTCTCTAAATCAGCAAAAATGAATTTTTTTGGGATCCTTGAGATATTCCGATGGCTCAACAGCTTTAAGTCCATTCGCTGTGTATTCATACACTGCAGGAGGGGGAAGAAATCTTTCTGGGAAAACATCTAGCCAATTTGTTGCAAAGGGTTCACAACAAAATATCATGCGTACGTACGAAACAACGGTTTAACCCCCCCTCCTCCACTGTACGCAAATGTACGCATCGATCATCCCCCTCCCTTGCGTACGTACTAAATGGATGCCCCCATACCTATAGATTTTATTTTGCTAGCAGAGTCGGGAAGTATGGACTGATGGGATTTTTTTTTATATTACTTTTAACTTTTACACCACATGCTCACCTAGACAATTACATGGTGTTATCAGGTTGACAATGGCCAATTAGTTCACATAAAACAACAAAAATATAAAGAAAGTTATAAAGAAAAGGTCAATCAAGGAAAATAGTAAAAGCATACCATAGTGACATCAATATTTTCAACTAGGTTTCAGCCATTTTGCAATCGAGTAAAAAGCGGTTTAACCAATTAATTAAAAGACTGAAAGCACCCCACGTGACTATAAGTTTCCTATCTAGAGTCTAATCCAGCGGTGCTGTATCCCGATTTTGAAGCAAAAAAACATTTCACCCCGTGTTCTGAAATCAATATGTAGTCATTATGAATGCCATGGTTAAATCCGGGTAAATATTGGGCATCTCACACGGTAGAACAAAATATTGAAGGGCTATTGTAGATGGAAATTTTTAGTGTAAATTATACACATTTTCTGTTATTTCAAATTTATTTTTCGCAACGATAATCATCAATGGTGATAACTACGGGACATACAACCATCAAGTATTTTCAGAAAGTTGAAATTTGAAAACAAATAAAGGGTTCGCCACTGCGCTGCCTATGCATTCCTGTCAAACGTTTTAAGACTTTTAACCACAACACTGTAGACAGTGTAGAGTTATACCAGTCAGTGATTGGATGCGGATTTTCTTGGTGAAAACGATCCCCAAAGGTTATATAAGTCCTATAAATCACGAAATTTACCAGGTTGGCCCTGCTAGCTGGGAATCTTTATAATGAGATGTTTTATAGTGGGCAGTGCTGTAAAAGTTACTCATTTTTTGGAACTAGTCAGCAGATTGACGTTAATTATTTGTAAACGTTATGTAACCTTGCCACTAATGGATCTCTCAGCTGTGTAGCCTGTGTTAAACACTGAAGCCGCATGCGTTGTCGTAGAAAACCGTGAGGAGAATTTCGAGAATAAGAGGTGAATTGTAAGTTTTAACCGCAAGAATGTAACGAAAAACTTCAAAAAAGTAACGTAAACGTTGGCTATAAAAGTAACGCGTTATCGTTTCATTTTAGGCCAAAAGTAACTCGTTAAAATTACAGTTACCTTATTTTTAAAGGTAACTAGTTACCGTTACAGTTACTCAGAAAGTATTAACGATTACTTGTAATTTCGTTACTTGTAACGAAGTTACTTACAGCACTGGGGAGGGACTAGTGACCATTATGACGAGGTGACCGTGTTATTAAAGAGATGGCCCTGGTGTAAACGTGCCTTAGATGGGATTTGACTGTAATAAGGCTAATATATTAATAAAGTTTCACAATGAAACTAAAAGAAACGTGTCTCGGGGAAAATAATTGGAAAATCCTCAAGAACAGCCAGAAACTCAGATCATCGAGTAATTCATGAAGTAGTTAAAGGTGGGAAGCACCAAATGTCCACGGGCGCAGTATGCAAAGAATCAAAAGTTGAAAGATATTAAAAAAACAACATTTCGATTAGAAATATGATAACTTCTCTTGGATTTTTTATACTCTTTAGTCTATTTTGGCTTATTTTTCTGGCATGCAGAAGCTTCATCAATATGTAAGTTAATACCACTGTTTGTTGAATGCAAATGAACCGTATCGTGACTCCATGAGTATTTGTATATATCTTTTAGTTGACTCCCGTATTTATAATGCGCGAATCAAATCGAAACCTTGACATCCCCCCCCCGGGCATACCCCCGGGAATTTGGATTTTGACGTTTTGGTCAGGTCAAATTCCCTACATATATTTGTAATTCCCGTTCAAATACACCACGTATTGGGAAAAATTGGAGTTCAAATACCCCACCCCATGTACGAATTGGAAGCTACAGCATTTTGCAATTTTGGAATTTCAAAGTTTTTCTTTCCTTCAAAAACTCTCTTCAATCGTTCAAAGCCGTTTTCTTGTAGCCAACCAAGGACAAAGTTAATTCCTTTGCACTTGAAGACCTTGAACTCATCCATTAATTATTGATGCCATTTTGGATTCTGCACACGTGTTTAAAAGAAAAATTCAAATTCCCGACCCCCTTCAAATTCCCCACCTTCCACTAGAAAAAAAGGTCAAATTCCCGCCTTCTTAAAATACTAAACAAGCAAATTCCCCAGGTATGCCCGGGGGGGGGATGTCAAGGTTTCGATTTGATTCGCGCATAAGATACACATACTGTACTGTTTTATTCATAAATTAATACTGTGTACATGCTTTTTTATTTTTTGAGGTTTAGTCACTTGACCTTTTGCTCACACCGGCTTAACTAGCAAATTATTGCCAATAATTGCAAATTATTGCCAACAATTATTGCCAACAATTATTGCCAAACAATAGGAAGGGATCGTTTGTTTTATAAAGTTGTACTTTGGCTTTGTATAGTGTCACTTTGGGCTAATTGCGCAAATATTGTCTGAGGTGCAAGCTCCATTTAATGTGGATGACTAGTTTTTGTGAGCCATGAAACTGATTCTATGGCTTACTTTTGTTTTAAAAGCTAATTCCAACACTGAGTATTTAGGCTTGTTAATCAGTCCTTATATAGTCATGCGTTTCCAGAAGAGCAAATTAGTTATGAATCGATCTAACCTTGAATGACCTTGACTTTGGATAAATCGTGATATTGTTGGTATATGGTTCATGCAGACAAGCAAGTTTAACTTGACAATTTGTCAATTTCCGTGGCATGCTCAACAAATGCCTGTTAGTATTGAAGGAGTAAAACAGATGCGTTTACATCTCTGAAAATCGGGAGGTCCAGTTGAGAGGCATGAAATTTCCTTTTGCTTCGACATCTTTGTGGGCCTGCTGTGTCTGCACGCCCGGATCGCACGTCACTGGTGGAAGTTTCATTCGAAATTTAGCATACTTTATGACAACAATTGCCCGAACATTTTTTCGAATCTGTTCACGACTTTGGACATGCAGTTTTCTACAGGGACGTATTTTAATGCAGATTTTATGTATTATTCTGTTTCAGGTAATTTATTATAAATAATAATACATTTTTTATCATGTAATTTTTTTGCCAATCAGATGAAAAACTGATTTGTCTTCTTTTCATTTGTTTCATTAATGATAAAATCATACAATAGGGAGTATAAATTTAAAATTGGGAGGTAATTAAGTCTAGAAGTTGGAGGCCTCCCGATGAAATTGGGAAAGTTGGAAGCTCTGGTAAGAACCTAGTGTTGCCACTTCCTTCTCACAAGGAAAACAAAGTACCAAATATGCAAAAAATTTTATTTCCGACCTACCGGTACCGACCGTAATTTTTTCACGATATGAAACTGGAACCACAGGTATTTTTTTTTACGACCTACCTAATTTTATTTATATAATAAGAAAACCATGGATCATTTTTGTTCAGCGATGTTACAGCTTGAAGTGGTGTATATAATAACCATGTGTGTCCCCGCCTCCCTACAAGTGACTCTCACTCAGTAAGTCGGGCAATTCCAGAAGAATTTGACCCTATAGCTCCTATATGTACACTGACTCACCAAGGCAAAAAAAACAGGAAACTTAACCCTTTGAGCACCAAGTGCTCTCCCCTTGATGAGTAAAAAGAAATATTAATTAGTGACTGAAATGGTGTTAGCAAATGCGCTACTACACCCCTGCTTTAGCCTCTTCACGACGTCCCTGCTGCCAATCACCCACAGTGTTAACTACAGTCACAATGCCGTTTTCCCAATTACATTTAACTAGCAATTTCCCAATTTAGATCTGCTAAAAATAACATACCTATTAATTGGAAAGGAGGTAAAAATACAAGATTGTTTAACTTTGAACAAAACTTTGCTCAAGAAGAATTGGGAACTTGCACTTTGAACAATTAAGGTTTAAATTTAGCCTCTGAGCTTATAGCTGCCTTGTGTCAGTTAAAGACACACATCATTTAGACCTGCATATAGTTAACTAAAGTAATGTCTAAATGTCTAAAGTAATGACTGAATTTCCCAATTTCAATAAATTGCTCGAATTTTTTTCTTCTGGTTGTATGTGATTGTAATATTCGGCGTTCTAAGTGACAGTCAACACAAGTTTAAAATGGCCAACCAAGTTTATTTACAACATATATATAGATAATTAAGTAACATATTAATTATTCATGCACATAATTAACTATTATTACATCTTCCTTTTTTTTTCAAATTGTTTTTTCTCGAACAGTTATAACGTCTATACCTATTAATACTAAATGTCAGTATAACTGGAAATGTCAATAATTATAAATATCACTTACTAAGCTACCATTACGAATTATTTTAAAGTCAATATCACAAATTCAACCTATCTGGTTTCTTTACCAGTCGTCCTGATCTAGTATTAGTTAATTGTTTCCCATGTTCGACATCATTTACCATTCTACAATCCTGTTTATCATTTAACGGTAACTGATCTCGCTGCGGTAGTTTTTCCACTGCTACATCATCTGATTCTTCTGAAATTTCTTCCGGTTCTTCCACTTTCAACAAATGTCTCCTATTCCTCCGAAATATACCACTCAAGGTCTTAACTTGATATGATCTTGAATAGTTGGTTTCCTCCACGACTATTCCCTTTTTCAAAAATCCTTTTTCCTCTTGAATTCTTACCACATCACCTTTCTTTAACGCTGGTAAAATTTGTGACTTCTTATCATAAGCCTTTTTCTGTAAATGTTTGTAATGCTGTAAACGGTCTTGCACTTTCTCTGGACATACTACTCGGGGTACCAAAAGTTCTTCCGAATATTGAAAAATAAAATATTGACGAATTTCAGAAATTCCAGACTTCCAGGTCATGGATTTTGAAAAAAATGTTCTAACAATACATTTATTTCAATAGTTTTCGTTTTTTTGGGGACACCCTGATAAGTAACATGTTAATTATTCATGCACATAATTAACTATTATTACAGTGATCACACCTTGAATCTGCCACGCAATCGCTCATCATCAATTGCTCTGGGACCCGTAATTAGCCTGGGAACCCCAGCTTTTGCCAAATGTTAACCCAAAGATATGTTACGCCATGCCCTTGATGCAATGTACAAAAAACTATGAATATCTTAATTTGGTGGCAAAATTTGGGAGATAAATTATGCATAATCTCAAGTCCAGTAGTCCATTGAAATACTCAGCTGAGGCTTAACATTATGTCACAAAACAAGCAACCAACGGCAATTTATTGCATATATCACATCGAAAAGATATGAAAAAATTAGCTCGAAATAATATATGCATGTGTGGGGTTAAAGATTTCTTCGATCTTCATGATTGCACCTTCGATGCATACTACGTAGTACTTGCCAACTGCCAAGTATGCCAAAGTTAGTGCCGAGGTTTCCGCAATAATTTTCGAAACAATTTAATGGGCCAAGGCAACCTCCCAATATTTTGTGTGTCAAGTTGAACTCAGCCGTCGCTATAGTGTTTATGCTCCTCGTTCAGCTTGAAATTGCAACCTACACTTTATTAGTCCTAGTCTTCGTGCTGTAAAGTATAGATATCGGAAATAGAATTAAGTCTAAACCTTCGGATCTCAACCAACTACACTCTGGCAGAGTGCCGTACAGCATTTATAACATTCTTTTGCCTTTAGCTATATGAACTTTTTTGACTGGAATATAAGATATATTTTCAATTTGTTTTAACAACAGAAATGTCGTTTTTCAAAGGAATTCACTGGTATAGAAATCCAGCTTGAGTACCAGCAGAACTAACGAAACAAGCTAAAGTTTGTTGTTTCTTGATTTAGTATATTGTCTTGGATATTATCCCAACTTGTAAAGAAAACGTTTCCTCACGAAAATTTACAGATAACGGTTGAAGATTTCGGTTATTTTTGTGTAAACGGAGTTAGTGTTCACATTGATAAAAACAGGGTTGTGGTAAGTTTTTATCTCCAACTTTCATTAGAAATAGTTGCATGAACATTTGAACTGTCTGTGCCAGTGTTGGTAGTGCCAACAACAACAAGCCTTGTTGGTCGGGATGCGACCACCGATCTGGATGCGACTACCTGAAAAATACAAGGTGAAATTCGACGTTTCTAGCAAAAGCCCTTCGTCAGGAAGTTAGTCTAGTCTTCGAAGGCCCTTCGCTCGAAACGTCCAATTTCTTCTTGTATTTTTCAGGTAGCTTGTTTACCTTGTTATACTGAACTTGGGCATTTACTCTTTTGTGTTATTTATTTATCTATTTAATTTGACAGAACAAAATTTTGTCCAGAATTTTGAATGAATGAAACAGGACAAACATTTGTCGAGAGTTTTGAATGAATGAAACTATACAATCATAAGTGACTATAAAAAGTCATATATAGTTAAACCGGATTTCGAATTTTTGGTTGATTCTTGAAACAATGCAAATATGCAAGGATATGTCTTACTTTTTCATCAAAATGTTTCCACTTGTGACTTGACATGTGCAGTATAAAATATAAAGAACGATTAAACGTAGTATTCTAGCGGGATTTTGACCATAGCATTATGTCCACTCCGTTTTCCAATCCTTGCATGAAACAGCTTACTGCCTGCGTGCGGTCTCGAGCTCATCGCTAGTTTTTTCGTATACTGCGAGGACAAGGCTTTAAGTCGGTGACAACTTGCAAGTACGTGCATCACTATATATAGTTAAATTTAGGTCCTATAATAGAAAAAATTAGAGTTTTAACCTTACTTTTTAGAGAATTGAGCAAATTGTCCTACAATTTCTGTGGGAGGAATTTAGGTATGTTGTCTTGATGTAGTTTATACCTTAGCATTGTGTTCCAGCTACTGTACCGCTTATATGTTCCGTGTAGTATTTTTTGGACGTCAAATCTTATACATTTTCCTATAAAGGCTAAAACTACAGTCAACTGCCAAAGATATAACACTTGAAACACGCCATCCTGGGAAATCTACCAAACGAAATAAGGTTTGTTGGATTCGTTTTTACACAGGATATTTAACTGTTTGACAATATGTACAAAATGCATTGTACAATATGCCAGGGGTGGCATAATTTTTTTTCTTTCTGGGAACCTGGGTTTCGACCCAGGTTCCCAGGCTAGAAATTTTCTGTAAAATTTGCAATATATGTTACAATTACAAAAATAACAAAACAAATGCATATAATTATTGTATTATTTGTACTTTAGTAATAGTAGGCTTTCGGCTGATTTTCGTATGCTCGTACATGGCAATAGTTGTCTCAGTATATACCACAGTTATGAGTTATGACCAACTAGTAGGGATCTAACGTTTAACTAAGTATCCTATCATCTTATTTATTCCATCACTTTTATTTGTTTACTATTTAATTTGCATTTTATTGGAGACTTTGCAGAGCATATATTTACCATTTTACCTCATTGTGATGGCAGGGGTGGGTAAAAGAATTAATTTCTGTTAAATATTTAGGCTGCTGATATTAGCCTGCATGTATACAGTGTAAATAAAGTAGAATAGTTGCAACTTGTAAGTTGAGTAAACAGAGTTATCTCAAAATGTTGAAATATTTTCTGGAAAATTTTCTGCAAAACTCTCAACTCAAAAAAAATTTCTGGGAACTAGGTTTCCAGGTTCCGATACTTTTTCCACCCCTGCAATATGCATTGCTTTAAGCTCTCTCTATTATTGCATGACGATTTTAGCTTTGCAATAATACATTAAAGTTATTTAATATTTTACATTTACACCCGTTTTCAAAATTACGCAACCTCCTTACCTCCCTGAAAAATAATCTTACTTCAAATGTCACAAGAACTGCTAAAAAATAGCAGATGTAAACAAAGACATTTTAAACCGGATTTAATACCGAATGAACAAAAATGAGCTAGATATACAAGCTAAAAGAAACTACAAACCATCACAACAGAAATCTGTGTCCGTGAATGACTTTTAAAATTTGAAAAAGAACAATTTCCTCGAATAATCGAATTTAACTGTGCATCAAACCCGTTTGCGCTAGACTATAGCGGTAATATTATGATTTTGTTGTGCTTAAGTTTTGCAATAATTTTCACTAAAATATTTAAAAAATAATTCTAAACCTTGTTATATAAAGCATACAAAGCATATACATCGATATATAATGATCCGCAAAACTCAAAGTTGTAAACAACTTGAACTTCGTGACCGCATGGCATAAAACTGACATGTTAAGGGTCCAGACACACCGGACGCGATTCGACAACGCGACGCGATTTTAGTTTTTGAAAGTTAATAAAAGAGCCAATGAGAGCAAAGTTTGAAAGATATGTAGACCAAATAACTCAAAATGTTATAGCGCTTCTAAATATTTGGAAAATTCAAACTAGGATCAAAGTTATCGGTCAGTGAAAATCGAAAAATCGCTTCGCGTTGTCGAATCGCGTCCGGTGTGTCTGGACCTTAAGCCTTAACTCAAGCTATTTTCGACTTGGTCGCGTAATTTTGAAAACGGGTGTAATCCATTAAAACGCAAGACTCCCCCTTGACGAGTAAGATCTTCTGACGTTAGACAGAGTAAAATAATAAAGTAGGGCGCATTGCAACTTAATGAGTCAAAAGACAATGGCATGTTGAATAATTAAGATTTCATAACTGTATCTGTCTTTTCTAGAACCGTGCAGGACATGATGAAGTAGTTATAAAAGCCTCCATAACTATTGGCATCAATCTTTATTCATTCCATCCTCCAACGGAACTGGTAAATTCTTTACACCTTCAATGTTTGTTTGGGGGAATCTTATAACTGCAGGTTGAAGGTAATTCAGGTCATCGGTGCAGGTTGATCAAAGGGTTGTTGGTTATTTCCGCGCGGTGTTTGCCAATATATAGATTAAGTTATAAAATATCCCAGTTCTGACTTAGGGTATAGCGTTATTTTGGTCAGCAATTTTAAAGGTATGATTATATAACACAATATAACATTTAGTTTACACTGTTTTACATACTACAAGTGATTAGATATACAGTACAACGAATTCGTAAATTAAAGCGAGCGTATAGGGAGAAAAAAGAATTCAGTATAGTGAATGGAGCTAGGCCTATACAGGGTTCGTAGCGGTCTTTGAAATCCTTGAAAGTCTTTAAATTGGAATGCAGGTCTTTGAGGTCTTTGAAAAGTCTTTAAATTATGTGAAAAAGCGAAGAAAGTCTTTAAAAGTCTTTAAATTCTTTAGTGAGGAATTGATTATACGATTTCCTAGCTAATAAAATAGATTGATTGAATCAAGATTTTCGCAAATATCGACGAAAATGCGCATTTTAGGATGTGATTTGACGGGACTAATTACTGGGTAAAAATATTGCTTACACTCGCAATTTTTCGACAGCTGATTGCTCTCAAAGGTCTTTGAAAAAGTCTTTGAAAATAGGCAGAAAGAATCTTTGAAAGTCTTTGAATTTGTTTGGTCTTGGAGACTACGAACCCTGCTATACATCTCAGTGAAAATCAATAAATGACCCTACACCTCCATCCATAAATCACGTTGGACTTCCGACTTCCCCTTGCTATCTTAATCCTCGAATAAAATCCTGAATCTAACCTAAACCCAGCCCCCTGAATCTAAACTTGGGCCAAAACTGAACCACCTGCAACCTGCATTCAACACCCTCTACCTGCATGGTACTTGTTGTTTCTGATTCATTTGATTTTTTAGAAAAACTCAATAATTCATATCTGGCTTGTTAAGATTTGTCAATTTTTTCAGTTATGTATTGCACCAAAAACAGAACACGTGCACGGTTCAGACATCAAAATTTCTGAATTGACTTCAGTGTGGTTATTTGCACGAAATGCTAAGGCATCAATTCAAGGCCAAGTTGATGGAGATGATGCTGTTTCGTATGAGTTCTCGGTGAGTAAGAAACAGTAAATTGATGATTATAGATTGAACCACGCTCATCTATTTTTTGTGTTTTAAACATTTGTGAAAACCACATCGTTGAATTACAATTATTCTTGTGTTGGTGATCACAGTACACTATCGCCCGTGTTCTAAAAGCTCACTCACACTCACACTCAATTAGTAGAGGTTCAATCTGAGCTTCTCTTGAGTGCCAATGCTGTTTTTGAATAACTGGAGGGCGAGTAGTCACCGAGTAAGTTATGACACTAGCCATCCTGCTATTCAAAAACAGCATTAACACTCAAGAGAAGCTCAGATTGAACCTCCACTCATCGCGTGTGAGTGAGCTTTTAGAAAACCAGCGTATGTCATATTCAATATAAAATGAATAATTTTAATTGCCTAATTATACAAACTGATCCTGTACTGTATCATTAATCAACTCTGCGCATGTTCTCCAAATGATCTGGTAATATCCTGGTTGTAGCCTGAATTCATGCTATTTATTTTTAGGCTTCGGGAGGAGATGCCTTTGTTCTTTATAACTCAAGCATGGCAAGACTTGTGTTCTTGTTTAAAGAAGCCAACGCTAACGGAACCAAAAATGGTCTAAACGCACAGGTGAGAGATAAGACAAAACAGACAGTGGTTGATACTAGGCACTTTAATCACTGACTTTCTCGATCTGCACTTGCCCCCAGAAGATCAATTATGACTTACCTGCTCAAAACTTACAATACACGTTGCAGGTAGCAAAAAGTGAAGGTTTGATCCTGGTATACAAGTTTGAAGATGGTATATTGACAAGTTCTCACAGTCAACTCAAGCACACAGAAATTAACTTATCTCCTTCAACGATAAACAGTTTGGAAGATCTGGTAACCAGATATGTGAAAGACAATTTTGAAGACAGTCTGTACAAAGAAAAGGTCTCAGAGCATAACGAAAGTAAGTCCAATTCACTTCATTTTGACCTAGGACCAACACTGATAGATTTACAAGCACACAACACAATTATAAATGTATAATTAATTAAATATTAATAAATTCATTATACTGAGTTCGTGAATTATTTTGAATTATATGTAGTCAGGTGAAGAGAAAGAAACAGATTCGGACCGATATCGCCACAGTTGAAACTGTAAATTTTCTTCTTCATGAATATAAATTTCCAAATTTAGAATTTATAGTATCAACAGCTCGTATTGTTTCACTCTGTTTCTTTGGCTGCAGTGGTTTTTAGAACATTGTAGTGTTTTCACATCAACTACTCCGCTTAAAAATACTTCTTGACGTTTTGAGCTACAGTAGGGGTTCTAATTCAGCCCACCTTCTAAGTGATGTTTTCTGATATATTTCTTATCTCTTCCAGTTCCCTGTACGAATGGTAAGTTATCCAGTGAGGATGATGAAGAAAAATGCGAGGTACGTGAGTCTGAAGTACTGTAAATAATCTACTCTTCCATCATGCTGATATACAAGATTGTACGTATAGCTATTAGCAGATGCGTGGAAAGTACTGTCTTTCATGTCAGTTGACAAGCACGTAGACCTTTACAACCCATAAAATGAATCCGTAAAAACGCGATAGCATTAGAAAGGAATTATGGAATATTGCACAGTACTGTACATGTTTGTAATAAATATCTCAAGCAGTCGATATTTTTGTCAACACAAACCTCATGCTCTCACAATCCAGTTGTTAATTAACGCGACTACAGTAAATTCTCATATGCAAAATCAAGAACGGCTATCAATGCCGTCGTTAATGTTAACGAGTTTAAGAAAGACCATGCAGCCATCTTTCACGGCCAAAACGTTGATCGCCCAACCTCTCTATTAATTGTATGTTTTGGCAGTATCCCATGCACTTGGAATGTGTGCTTCTACTTGCCTTATTTTCACAATATTTAGGGATTAATCCAAGGTTGCACATTCTGTATATTTAGGTGGCGATGGAAGCGGAAAGTGTCACCATAAACGCGTATTCTACTGAGAACTCAAGGCATTTTGAATTGAAGTTGGCATTTATTAGTTTAGGTATTCCAAACAAAAACATGGTACGTTAATCAACAAAGAAAATTGCAAATTAGAGTAGAATATTTTAGTAATGCATGTAGGAATATAATCACATCATTTATCCATTCACTTTCTCCATACACTGTATGACTGTATGTATTTTTTACCAAATGATAAAAGACTGATAAGATTGTTAGACCTCGTTTTTCTTTCATACCAGAAATATACACATCAGGTGTTTAGCATTCGTGAAAACGTCGTTCTTGCCCATCTCATATCCTTCAGCAACTGTGGTCTGAAATTCTTCACAAATATTCAAATCAAAATTTGCATTTTCTATAAGCTTGTATAGAAGTTCTATAGAGTGTTTGATATCATAAACATAGAGCAATACTGTATATGTTGTAACACAACAAATCGGGAATGAATGTACCATTCCTAAGCCCCATACAGACAAGCAAGGTTTCCTTGACAAGTTCACCTTCTCGCCAACAAGAAGACTTCCCTTGCAAAGTTCTGTTGTTCGTGTGCACGGGATAGTGTCGTATATAGAGGATATTACACTGCAGCGCGAAGATATGACTTTTATCTTCGAGTGGTGAAAACAATATTTTAAGAACGAGCGCAGCGAGTGACTAAAGTATTGTTTTTAACACGAGAAGATAAAAGTCATATCTTCAAGCCAACGTGTAATGTTCTATTTATTATATAGTCCGAAGCAAAAAATTGTATAAATAGTAAAAGTCACGTGATCGATATCCTCACTAGTGAAGATATGGAAAATATGTCACTGCGTATTTTTCAGTATCTCACTCTCTACTATATAATAAATGCATTTATCACATGCCAAAACCATGCATAGAATACTTCTTGTACACTTGTCAAGTTTTCCTTGGCGGCCGTACACACGAACAAATTTTCCTTGTCCAAAAGCGGGCATGACTAGCTTTGGAACAAGGCTCCCAGGCATGGAAAAATTGTCAATTTTTGCCACACACACAAGCTAATAAAACTTCTCAAGGAAAACGTCTGTACGTGGCCTTATCATACTTCAATCTGAAACCATAAGTAGGAAATTCTGTTTTTCAATTTTGTGACAGTTTACATCGTTCTCTATTTGATTATTTAGATACGATGGAGTGTTAGCGTCCCTTTTGAATTGACGTTTATTGATGAGCAAGCTGGTAGAGGGAAGGAATCAGTTTTAGGTTCGAAGATCAAGTCAGAAGGATTGGTCAATCCATGTGTTCTAAAAATAGACGTATGTCATGTGTGTACAATAATGTTACTATAGTCTCACTGCCAGTTACATCATGATTGTTATAATTTGATGGTCTTCACATTATATCGCTTCGCTTTGTATTGCACTGCGTTGCACTGTATGACATTGAAAATTTGTTATCACATTTTTGAGAGTTTTAAGTTAAATGAACGAAACCCCACAATTTAGTCCTTTTGGCATTTTATGAAAATAAAATGAGGTATAAAAGTCATTCTACAGCATCTGAATTTCTTTAGTTTTAGCTTTTGACATTTTATGGCAAATCATTAACATTGATTTATTGGCCTAGCTGAGCTACTATATACCTCAAAAAGATTAACCGAAACGTCTATCGGGAGTGCATGTTTGTAATCATTTTGAGGCGGTTTACACACAAACCATGATGGCAGCTTATTGTAGAATACAACCTACACTAATTAGAGCTCCAGATTTTCTGTTATATTCTATCGAATTTCTACTTCCGATCGATAGACTATCACTGCACTTTTGAGACAAATTTCTGTACTTTTGAGACAAATTTCAAAGTGCTGCAAATGTATACATATATAAGGCGACTTTCAACCCTATTTTAATTAACTCGTATACATATCTTTTTCTTCGGAATTCTCAGGGTGATGAAATTTCCAATAAAACTACAAGATGGGATGTCTCTTTTCACGAAGGGATCCTTGTTGAAATAAAACCAAAATACGTTAACGCTCTAGAGACTTTTATCAAAGTAAGTTAATTGAGTGGAGATGATTTGTGGGGATCTAGTATATACTGGAGTTGGGCGCGGGAGAAAAAAGATTATATACTTATTCGCTCCCTTGAACGGCCACTATTAATACTGCATGCATTTATTCCAATATAGACTTACAAATCAAGTGTTAAACATGCCTCAAATTCATCAACAGAAGTTTTCGAACGGCACAGAAATGTGCCGCAAGCTGATGACGTCATTGATCAAGATCGAATTGCATTGAGTGAGAATTTAGACAAAATGTCGCACCGACAAGAAATGTGTGAGGTAAGCATATATTCGTCAGAATATTGGTCTTTACAATGCGCATACAAGTAAAAAAAGGTTTTATACAGTATACACCTGTACTTCGATTTCAATGTGCATATAAAGGTCATGTGACGTGCTGACGTCAGGATACCTGGTTACCAAATTTTTGTTTCCATGAACATTTTTTGTTTTCATGCTTCATTGTTGAGATACTGTCGTGTATGTGGATTCAGAAAGTACTGTATAGGAGATACAGTACAGATTTTGGAATAGTCCTTTGCAAATGATATCATTTTACCACGCGCGGTTCCTCGCAGCACCCTCAACTTTACTCACGCTGTAAAAGCCATGTGTGATATGATTCAATTAATATTAACTATTAGCTACTAATATGAACTATTACTAATGACGGAACCATATGTATATAAACTAAGGCGATTGATATTAAACTCTTTCAAACCTTACTACACTAGGATACACTGGAATGTGAAAAATTTAAACTGCTAAATGTTACTCATTAATCTTTTATTTTGCGCAGATATCTGCAAATATATGTGACATAACTATTGACGTTAAAGATGGCTATGATCAGAAACTACTGCAAGTCGTTATGATACATCCAAAGGTGTGTGATTTACAAAACAGCACTTCTTATTGATAGAAATTATATTCAGCTTCATTCGTCACTTTAACACCTGCACTTCGTTTCTGAACATTGTGTGCTAGCATCTAGCTTTGTTGTTGAATTGAAATCTTACCAATCTCTTTTTTACTGTGAACGGTGTATTAATTAATAACATACTAGAGAGGAGGAAAGTGCTTCTTTGACATTTTAATATAAATTTTGCGTGTCATAGAAATATTCTTTAATTTACAGCTGTTAAATTGTGCTATTGAAAAAATAATTTAGAATTGCAAAGATTAGTTTGTTGCAAGTGTTCACTCCAGATACGTGTACGTATTGCATTTGTCGTTGGGTCATGACCTTTAGACACGTCTCATCGCTTGTGGTAATTTGTATTGTTTTTCAATCATAATTATGTAATAAATACCTCATCTGCATAAAACGAAACTAACATATTAAAGACAATACGACATTGTTCCTCTTGAGTCGTCCAAATTTGTGAAGACAAAAACAGTAGAAGATTTCGCTAGTAAAGAACACTGGAGTAATGTCGCCAACATAAAAGATATGTGAGTAATAGGGACTGTTTAGATTTGTGTCTTATCGGGAATGGCTTCCCTTCCAGTGGAAGACAAATATGGCTACGAAGACAGCCGCTTTAAGAAGGCTATAGATGAACATTTTCATTGTTCTATATGCTACAATGTTCTGAAGGAACCAGTGATGTGTAGAAACAATGAACACATATTTTGCCGTGGCTGTATCACTATACATTTAACTGAGAACTCGCATAAATGCCCAGAATGTAACGAGAAGTTGACGGTCGAAATACTTCGTCAAGCCCCACGCCTGGTAAACAATTATTTATCTGAGCTGAGGATAAACTGTGATTATTCCAGTTGAGGTTGTCATGAGTATATTCGTCTTGAAGAGCTTGCTTCTCATGTGGCGAATTGCAATTTTGCTCCAGTGAAGTGTTCGAATGAGGAATGCAAAATGGAAGTTAATAAGGGAGAGTTAATTCATCACGAGAGCACAGTTTGCGAGTACAGGAAAGTCCAGTGTCATTCTTGTAAAAAGTTAGAACAAGATGTTAAAGAGATGAAAGAGAAATTGGAAGATATGGCAGGAATAAAAGAGGATGTAGACCAAGTAAAGGCACTGCTGGTCCAGATGTTTGAGAAATTAAGCTTCCTTGAAAACAGCATTCAAATCTCGTCTGCTATTAACCACGCGTCGAATACATTGATGGAAGACATCGTAATAGCGGGGGGCTATAACAGTCGTGACAACGTTTTAAAATCTGTTGAGCGATTTTCATGGGAAAATAGTGTGTGGAAAAGAGTGTCTTCAATGAACGTTGGTCGTGTAGGAGCAACTTCATTTGTTTACGAGAATCAGTTATTTGTCGCTGGCGGATGTGATGTTGATGTTATTGAGGTATTAAATTTGAATGAAGATCAGTTGAGATGGGATGAATCTGTGGCCACATTGCCTAACCATTGTGTTCACCTCCGCTCCGTGGTGTATCAGAACCGTGTAATATTTTTCTGCGCATGCGATCAGACTGATAATACCGTAGAAATGAGTATTACTGAATCTCACATCTGTAAACAGTTATGCAGCATCCCTGAGCCGTCAAGAAAATGGTACACGGTGGTTGCATTCGCTGGGGTGATCAAGCAGTTTTGATGGGTGGTTGTGGAAAGGATGGCCAGTCAAAAAGAGTTTTCATGTACGACTCCAAAACGGGTAACACCACTGAACTGCCACCCATGTTACAGGAAAGAGTTGGATGTGCTGCAATTATTACTGCAGGCAATACCATTGTTGTTATGGGCGGACGAGGAAGATCTAACCGTGTTAAGTCTGTTGAAGCTTTCACTTTAGGAGGTTATTCATGGAGGAATCTTCCTGCCATGAACAACACTAGAAGTGGTGCTACTGCAGCAGTTATACCAACCAAAAACCTTCATTGACGTTTTCATGAACAGTGATGCAGAGTCAAACCATAGTCTATATAACCAGTCCAACAAGTTGGTCCAGCATCATTCTATATTGTTGAATGCAACATTGTTGGGTCTGTTTGAAAACAATGTTGAATCAGGATTTATTCGACATCGTCCAAAAATGTTGTACGGTGTTGGACTATGTCCGCGTTCAAAACAAATTCATTCACGTATAGTATATCATTGTACGATCTTATACTGAACACGTATTAATTATTGTGCCTCCTAAATTGTATTTGACAATAAATATGTAAGTTAGATTTTATTTGTATTACTAAATTATATTTGACAATAAATATCTAAGTATAAAAGCGTTAGTGTAAATGTATGAAAACATTTCTGGCATCACACGTTGATGTTCTTGAACATTTGTATTTTTGACGGGGGGGGCATAATAAAGAAACGCTTTCTTTATATGGCTGAAAATCCTATATGGTTGACAGGAATTCAGGCATCATTTGCCAAAAACATTCTTCTCCACCCCTCCAACCATTTGAGTTTCTCCAACCTCTCCCTATTAATTGAAAAACTTAGACCCACCCCAAAGCAGAGGCGCCGGAATATCGATAATTGGGGGCGGAATGTTCATATATTCGTGTTCTGCCCAATTTATTTGCTTTTTGGAAATCTCGATATTTGGATTTTAAAATCGGTGTTATAGTCTATTATACGAATATATATGAATGCTATTATCGATATTCTGGCGCCTCTGCCTCAAAGCTGTAAATTGTTCAATACCTGGTAGTATGACATAAGCTATATATATAAATGTCACTTTGCAGACTTTTAGCAAACTAAAATTGTTCCTTTGTTGTGCAATTTTCCACTGCATTGTGGCTCACCATGACTTCACTTAAAAAAAATTCTAGAAAGTGACCCTGGGCTTTTATTGCCTGATGGAACAATGAAGGCAGCTGTTGTGAGCTTTGGACTGCTAGTTTTTTCGATATTTATATTGTTAAATTACCGTCCTACGGTTTTTGACCGACATGAAGAGTTTCCTAAGGTTATCGTACAGACCATATGGGAAAATAAGATCTCTCCATCACTGTTGAGCGATGTATGCGGGCAAACAGTTATTATCGGACTTGGCCGACTTGGAAAAGTCTCCCTGTTGAAGCATGGATTTCGAAAGACTCGTATGAGCCTCTCCAGATGGTCAAAACATGGCCAAACTACACTACTGGTGGCCGGACATGATCCTCCTATTGACATTACCATGTATCTGGACATATCTATTAATCCTGGCCCACAATTGTCGAATACGATCGAAACTATAATCACAAACAGAACAGAATGTATTGAACGCTCAATCACTTAGAAACAAAGGTCCTGGATTTGTTGACTATATTTGTGATTCGAAAATCGATATTGCCGTTATTACTGAAACTTGGCTGAAATCTGCTGATGCTAAAATCGCTGCCACACCAACTGGATATCGCCTGTCCTCGCCCAGATAGAATTGGTGGTGGCACTGGCATCTTAGCGCGGGACTCACTTGTAATTAAACAAGCAAGAGCGGGTATTTTCAACTCTTTTGAGTATTCAGAGTATATTATTGTTTCTGGCTCATCTCGCGTACGCCTTGTTGTAATCTATAGGCCTCCTTACTCGTTCAATCACCCGGCTACTGTGAATATGTTTATCACTGAATTCGCTGACTTTCTGGAATCTGTTGTCATGACGATCGAGCCGCTTCTGATAGCCGGTGATTTTAATATCCATGTCAACAAGCAGCTGGATAACGATTGTGCCGGGTAGTTTTCTCGATCTCCTTTCATCACTGGGCTTACAGCAACACATTAATTTCCCCACGCATACTTCTGGTAACACTTTAGATATGCTGGTAACCCGGCCGAACTTTGGATTCTGATATCATAAAGGAAATCCAACCTGATATCTATTTTTCTGACCATTGTTCCATATTATTCTCCATAAACATCTCCAAACCGCAACTGTCAAGGAAGAAAGTAACTTTTAGGAAAACGAAAGCTATTAATACAACCACATTCGTGGCGGATCTGTCTGCTACTAAATTGTGTCAGCACCTCCATCTGAGCTACACAAGCTAGTAGATTGCTATAATACCACACTAGCAGATTTATTGGATCACCATGCTCCTCTCAAAACCAAGACTGTTACGGTTAGACCTCAAGTGCCTTGGTATTCGGAGGAAGTTCGTGTAGCGAAGAGAGAGCGTCGACGAGCTGAAAGGAAATGGAGGTCTTCTGGGACTGCTGCTGACTTTGAGTCATTCAAGAGGAAAAAAAATCGTGTAACTCATTTGCTAAGAGTAGCTAAATCGGCATTTCTCACTGACTTCATTGATCAGAATGCGGACAATCAAGGCAAATTATTTCGAGCTGTGAAAGACCTTTTGGTTGAGAAGAACACGCTATGTTTCTCTGACTATACGGATACGACGGCACTGGTAAACGAGTTAGGGATGTATTTTGTGCAGAAAGTTATTCGGATTCGAGATGAGCTCGATTTGGGTATCGCGACTACGAACGATGTCCCGGATTATAGGGGCACTATACCTGACCCACCGGCTCCATCTGTTTTTGAATCATTTGCGTTGCTGACGGAGGACGATGTGCGCATGCTCATTGCCAACTCTAAATCCACATCCTGCTGTCTTGATCCTGTCCCCACGCCTCTACTAAAATCATGTATCGAGTCTCTTATACCAGTGATCACTAAAATAATTAACACCTCATTGGAATCAGGAGTTTTCCCTGAGGACTGGAAAATGGCCGTAGTCAAACCATTGTTAAAGAAACTGGCCTTGACCCGCTGTTTATGAACTTGCGTCCTGTTAGTAATTTAGCTTATATCTCTAAGCTCATTGAGCGGTGCTGTATTTAATCAGATTTATGACCACTTGGTTCAGTCAGGTCTTTATCCTCTACTGCAATCAGCTTATCGTCAGTACCATAGCACAGAGACAGCGCTACTCAAGGTTGCTAACGATATTCTTATGAACATGAACTCGCAACGCGTTACGTTACTTGTCCTTTTGGATTTAAGTGCTGCGTTCGATACAGTGGATCATGAGATTTTACTGTCACGCTTGTTTTCGAGTTTTGGTATTCGGGGAAAGGCTCTAGAGTGGTTTTCTTCATATTTGTCAGGGCGTAGCCAGCGCATCGTGTTTGACGGAGTTACATCAGACAGCTGTGATGTGCGCTTCGGGGTCCCACAAGGGAGTTGCCTTGGTCCTCTTCTCTTTGTTATGTACGCTTCAAAGCTTTTTGAGATTGTTCAAGCACACCTCCCTGATGCCCATGGTTTTGCCGATGATACGCAATTATACCTGTCATTCAATCCTAATAATCCTGCTCATCAAACGGAGGCGGTGTCTGCCATGGAGGGATGTATTAGTGACTTGAGGAAATGGATGTATCAGGACAAGCTAAAGTTAAATGACGATAAAACTGAATTTCTTATCATCGATCTAGACAACAGATTTTGAAAGTTAACCCTTGTACGATTCGCGTTGGCAATACCGAGATCAAGCCAGTTTCGGAAGCGCGTAATCTGGGCTCTTGGTTTGATTCAAATTTATCCATGTCCACCCATATTTCTAAGTCTTGTGGTGCTACATTTTGCTGGCTACATAAAATCAAGCGCATAAGTAAATTCCTTGCAAAGGATCAATTAGAAATGATCTTGCATGCCTTTGTTACAAGTAGAATTGACTATTGCAATGGACTTCTCTATGGATTGCCGGACTGTGACATAGTTAAATTACAGCGAGTTCAGAACGCTGCGGCCAGGCTGCTAACGTTTACTAGCAAGTATAGTCATATTACGCCTGTTTTACAGGAACTACACTGGTTGCCAGTTAGGTTTAGGATTCATTTTAAGATTTTACTTTTAACTTTCAAAGCTCTTAATGGCTTGGCGCCAGATTATATTAGGGAACTTATTAAGATAAGGAAACATGAACGTTACTCGCTCCGTTCCAATTCGGGTATTATCATCTTACATCCAGTGGGGAAGGTGTTAAAATCATTCGGAGACAGATCTTTTAGTGTGGCTGCGCCAACACTCTGGAATGCACTTCCTGTAAGCCTTCGGAGTATCAGTTCTCTTTCAATTTTTAAATCCTCTCTGAAAACATATCTTTTTAAGCTAGCTTTTAGCCTTCATTAAATGTATGTATTTAAGATTATTAATAGTTGCATGTATAATGGAGTGTATTGTAATGCGCTTTTGATCATTGTATG